TGATTTTGATTGCTACGATCTAGGTTACACTGTTCAGTTCTCTGTATGTCTTTGTATTTACGTTATTCCTACTCCACTGATGCAATAAATGTTTRAGCAATTGTAGTCTTTGGAGATTGCCTTTTGTGAGGTAATTCCTGAAATCTAAAATAAGAAAGTACAGTAGGAGAGAAAGAAAAAAAGGGGGGAAAAAGCCTGGCAGAGCAAACAAAACTGAAAACTGAAAGGATCATTTACTGTTCTGGAGGTGTTGAGCTGTAGTCTYGAGTTTATGCACAGTTGCTCTTCTCTTGCAACATTTGCTTTTGTCCTGTTTGCTGATGAATTGGGGCTTTTACAGTCTTTCTGTCTCCCCAGTCCTTTTGTCAGAGCTGTCCAATGACTCTGTATCTGCTCTCCAGATCCAGTGAAATGAAGCAGCAGTCTCAGACACTTGAGTTAATACAAGTTTTGGAGAAGAGGCTCAGAAGGTAAAAGAGACAGGTTTAGGGAAAGGCAGAGGCCAGAGCCCAGAGCTGTGTTCACCCTGGAAGGCAGTGGCTGGTGATCAGTCCAGTCCCCCATGCACAGACATGATGCCTATTACCCACCCAGATGTGGGGGATGGAGGGTCAGAGGGGAAATAGCAAGTGATATTTGATGTATTTATAGGGATCCTGGTTTGTTGCACTAGCTTCACTGCATAGCTTACTTCGCTGAGCAATCATCACAGAATCAAGTCTTTTGGTTCTGTATTCTGTTTTAGGTAGGCCAGGCCAAATGTAAAAGCCATTTCTTTTCCTGAAACAGCATTGATCTCTTGTGGCTTCCTGATGTACATTATGTACTTCCTGATGTACTTGAAGTTTTCAACTTCTTCTGGATATCTACTACTATGCATTGATTTTTTTGTTTGTTTGTTTGTTTTTAAACTGCTGTATTGCGAAATCTGAATTGAGTATTCTACCCATCCATCTGGCATCTCTCACAGCCTCGCCAGGTCCTGCCACAGGCAGGGCAGGGGCCTCTGAGGCCAGCCTGACCTCTCAGGCTTCTGCTGTCCAGCCATGCCAGCAGCACTCACCATCTGGGTTTGTCACCCCTGAGAACAGATGAGTCTCCTCTCAGCTGCAATAGTGGGCCATTATAAAAAGCTGGTCAGATACATGCAGGCCAGTAATGAAACGTAGGTGGATATTCCATGGTGTKTTTTGTTTGAGCATTTCTGATTTTTGAAATCCTCATACTGCTTACAACTATTGACAATTTTCCTGATTCAGTGTGTTGTTTCTGGTTTATCTCTCGGGAAACAAATACTTTTCTGTRGATTTTATTTGTTTTAACAAAGCAGAGCATTTGTAGAAAAAAAATGTCTGCTTTTCAAGAAAAAATTAAAGGTACCAATACAGAGAAATGCTCAAATTTAGAATCAAGTTGTCTAATGCAAATGCTTCCGCATCCCAGTGTGTGCCCGAGTTTGGACACTGGAAGCATTATTTCCTGTGGACTGTGTTTCCCAACAGAGTCAATCTGTCAGGATGTGCTGGGATTTTCAGATTCCGTGTGGTGTCATGCAATATTGTGATTGTGATAGGAGATTTAGCCCTAATATAATAAACCCAATATGTAAGCAAAAGTGGAGGAGTAAAGCACCTAGTCTGCATTTGTGTTTCCATATTGTGGCAGATGAGCTTCACAAATCCTGCGGTTTACAGKCTGCTCGTATACTGTCATGCAGGCTTGGGAATTCTTTCCACTAGAATTACTGATTTTCGCTCAACAGTAGGGGCAGTTGATGCTTGAAGAATAAAATGTTGCAGACTTTGATTCTCACACCTGTGTGGCCAGAATAATCTCTGTTGTTCTCCTTTTCATACAGCAACTTCTGGAACTCACGTAAAATGGAAGCTGATGAGATTCCAAATAGAAATGCAGTTCACATTGAAGTCACAAGAATGGAGTTGTCTTTTGTAGACCTTGGAGTCCACCCAAACAGAATTTCTAGTTGTGTACATACAGTTACCCAGTGAAAGGGGTCCCTTGAAATCTGTGGCCCAAGATTTTTTAAAACAAAATAAACTAGAAATCCAGATTTGATATGTGAAGTAATCRTGGTGGATTCTCCTCGACTGGAGAAGAGGAGGAACAGTTATTTGATCATCACCCCAGCAGGGGACCTCCTCAGGCTTAGGCCTCTGCAACACGGCAGTATCTCTCTTCTTGTGTGTAGATGTTTGTTTGCTTTCCTCATTATGCATTTCTTTCTAGTTCTACTAAARGAGCTAATCTGTTGAACTTCATGGTCAGCGTGTTTCAGGGCTGCCAGGTCTCACAGAAATTTGTGTATTTTGGGTACAGCATAATACCTGTGATAAGACAGGTTTACATCAGATGTCAGTATGTTATTTCCAGTGGTCTAGGAATGTCATTCTGTTTGAGACATGCCAAGATGTGTACTGACTSCCACTTCATTAGCAAAAATATGCTAAAATCTGAAAATGTCAGGGAGAAAAAAAAAGGCTGAGGCTGTGAAAGCCTTTGAGAGAGGTGTTCTTTGGGCAGCCTTTGTTGTATCTTCTGTTGCTGRACCATCGGAAAAGCCAAGACAAGTTTCTACTTCTTTTATTTTTTCCATCATGTCAGCTCTGCCACCCAGCATGTGCCATATTTGCRTAAAGCTCCTTCCAGGAGCTCCAGCATGGACTGTAAGCAAGCAGCCTCCTGKGCTGAATGAGCAGTTCCCCTCTCCTCAGAGAGCCACTGTACCCTTTCTGTCACACACTCAACCTCGCCTAGCCTGCAGCACAAGAGTTTCAAGTCTGCCTTGCACCTGATTCCTCTTTGGATGTCTGCTTTCAGAGCTGCTGATTGCTGCGATTGCCCCAGGCCTTTGCACATCTAAATGGGTTTTAATGTCAGCTCAACACAAGCTTACGTATGTAAGGAAAAGATGCATGGGCTAAAACACAGGATGCCATCCTTACAAGGCCCTGGAGAGTTTCTCAGGTAGAGGTAAATACATAAATGCTAGGAAAAGGAATGGAGGTGAGGAGTTCCACAGTAATGTAGAACTGCTAATCAAATATATTTTGAAGTCAGTGAAATCAAAAGATCTTGTTTTCAGATTGTTGGCATCAGATCACCTTATCTGATCACAAACCTGTCTATACAGTAATATAAAATTATGTGAGACATTTATTGTAAGTAAGATGTCATTTATCTTTAAGATTTTTATTATAAAATGCCACAGCTTACCATCACAGATTAAGACCTGCATCTAACCTTTCATGAAAAGAGAGCAAGTAGATCAGTGTACTAGCTAATACACATTCTAAGTTATCTTTAGGCCTGAGTCATTTCTTCCATCAGGAAACCTAAAGATATTGTTGGCCTGTAACGGGATACCTGCCAAAATTGAGGATGTTTTACTTTTCCTACCCAAACCTGCAACTTTTTTATATTCAGCACCTTACCCTGAGTCTCAGTTTATTGACTGTGAGACTATCAAGGCAGCTGTCCTTCAAGTAACACTCCTCTAGCTGTGTTTACAGGGAGCATATACTTGTACATCCTTTTTTCAGCTTTCCGTCTTGCTTTTGTTTCTAAATTCAGTCAGTATTTGGCCAAAGAAGCAGTCTTGTGTTGGAACTCCAGGCACCAGATCCCTACACTCCAGGCAAACTGTTGAGAATCTGAACAAGTAAATGGTGACACACCTAGTTCTTTCTACTTCCCATGCTCAGGTTTGGTTAATGCATTGTCCATGTCCTTTCCTTTTTTTGACAAATGTTTTCTCTGCCATGCCACAAGTGCTTCAGTTCACTTCCATGGTTTCAACCTCGTTCCTTTGTTTGAAAGTTATTTGGCTTAAGCAAATTTTGCAGGCTGATGCGCTGAACTTCTTTATACATGTAGGTCCCAGAGTCACAAAATAGGAATAATCAGTTCTCTGTAATGAGTTTTATCACGACATTTCAACTACTAATGCTAATGAATTCATATTGGAAGTTTTTGTGAAAATCTTTTTCATCCACTCAAGTGGCTTTGAGGGCAAAGGTCTACTTTAAAATAGTTCTCTTAAGAAATTTGTGCATAATTTCAGTGGGTTTCCAGGGCAACATTGAATACTTCCCTTTCTGCTTGTATCCTGCATTCCATGTTGCGAAGTAGTTTCTAAGACAGCAGTTTCAGGGTAACTTTAAGGTAGYTTAGTGCTGTGTGCGCCTTCTATATGTCCTCCATCTCTCCTTCTAAACCCCAGGATACCAGTTCCAGCTTTCACCCTTTGCTAAAACCAATATCCATGTTCTTGTTCATCAAATTCAATCACAAATTGATCCAGCTTAAAACTAACTCTTCTTATTTTATTAGTCACCCCAAGGTAATGCAAATGTTCATGTCAAGTCTGAGTAGTCAGTCGATTTCTGAGAGACCTGACAGCTCTGAAACATGCTGACCACTGAGTTCAGTAGATTAGTTCTTTTAGTAGAACTAGAAGGAAATGTACAATGAGGAAAGCATGTAGACATCTACAAACAGCAGGAGTAGAGATACTGCCTTGATGCAGAGGTTGTGGCCTAAAGCCTGAGGGACATACCCTGCTGGGGTAATAATCAACAGCAGTGTTCCTTCTCTTCTCCAGGCTAGAAGAGTCTACCAGTTACTGCATAGGCTTGGGGCAGACAAAAGCAATTGGATAAACAGGTTCTCCAAATGAAATTTATTTAAATGTATTAAATCACTTTCAGAGTGAAYGTTATGTATAGTTTCACGAAAACCATTGTTATTTTCGTTTGCAGATCCACTGTTTATCATGATCATTTGGCTTTGGGTTGAATCCTGAAACATTTAGCAACAATCATCTTCAGAAATAAAAACAAATGGGAAAGGTAGCATTGGAAAGAAAAGATTAATTTTATTGAATGTGCATTTTTTAACAACTTCAATGTTTTCAGCATTTTGCTGTTGCAGATCACTGCTCACCATTTCATGCAAGCTATTTTTTGTTCTCCTTTTCACAGATCGAATTGCACAGAATATCATTAAATCTCATTTGGAGACCTGTCAATATACAATGGAGGAATTACATCAGCTAGCGTGGCAGACCCACACGTATGAAGAAATAAAGGTTTACCAGAGCAAGGTATAAGCCTGTGATATGCTTTTTCTTCTGCTTGAAATCAATTTATCTGGCAGTTTTGTATAAGTCAAAATACACTTTTAAATATCTTTGAAGAACTGGTTACTGAAAGCAAAGAGGTGACACTTCATAAAAAGAAGCAGCAGCTTTCCAGCCTATTAGGATGTTTGCTAATGTTAAAGCTTAGGWATAATCATGGAATCCAGGTTTTTGTGCTTGTTGTCACAGATCCAACCCTCATGCACAAATTCAGTTGATTTCAGTGTGACTATGATTGGATCATCTATTGTAAGGATTTTAAGAAAATAATACGATGTAACTTTGTTTCCTTGTAATTTTTAAAACACATCTACTTTTTATGTGAATAACAAATACCTGTCACTTACGACAATAGATAATAAACTGAAAGTACTGCTTAAATTGAAGCTGTTCAATATTGGGTGGAAAATGGTCTCATTACACTACATTTTTGTTCTGCTTTTGCAATTCTTAGGTCAAGTTCAGTCTATTTTTCACTGGCACTTCTTCAGATGTAGTCCAGTCAACAGAAGTCTCTGTGCCTCTTGCACCAGTTTCATTAGCAATGAGTCTTTGGTCAGAGTTCAGGCAGCACATTAGGTGGTCCTGTAAGTGACAGGAGAGACTCCAGCTTGTTCTCTGAAATCTGAGGGGCCATGCAGTATTAGCAGGAGCAAAAAACACACCACAGCTTGCCGACCTGTGGCGTGAAACCAAGAACATCCGTATATGTTTACACACGTGTGTGCAAGGAAAATTATTATCAAAAGTCAAAAGTCGTCTTTATGTAATCTGTGTTCAGATTTCAATGATACTTTAATTATGTAATGTTTCAAGTTTTAAACTAGGAAAAATACTGAATAAATCAATAGCACCATGCCAATTCTTACCTAAGACTACTATGAGATGTGTACATTTTTTTTTTTGCTGCTATTAGTCTGCTCTGCACAAAAGCCAGCATTAGAAACACATTTTAACATTCTGCTCCTTTGAAGAGGCAATGCCAGGGATCACATGACTGGAGCAGTGGCTTGTGAAAACAGCCTTCTAGTAAGTATTGTTGGGTACCTAGAGAAGAGGAGTTGCTGCTAGCCCTGCTCGGGTATGGGGAAGGAGTGTGGGGAGTCTGCCTGTCTGTAAGGCCACCTGAAGAACTTAATGCACTGATGTACCTGCTTCTTCACCGCTTTCCTTTTTCCATGTGTGTTTTCCTGGAAGACGAGAGAAGCGCTGTGGCAGCAGTGTGCCATTCAGATTACCCATGCTATCCAGTATGTAGTGGAGTTTGCAAAGCGCATTACAGGCTTCATGGAGCTCTGCCAGAATGACCAAATTCTTCTTCTTAAGTCAGGTGGGTAAAAAACAGAAGCTTGAGGCTGATTTAGCACCAGCACCATAGAAATGTGCTCTCCTGTCTTTTCCTGCAAATCGTTTTAATTTTGAAGGATCCCTGATTTCAGTCTGTTTCATTAGGTACACTAACCTTTCTGTGTTTTTCCACGTTAATCATGTTGCTGCCTTCTGATCCCCTCCCCTCTACAGTCAGTTATTAAGTGCACACACACAGACATAACCATTGCAAAAACTGCAGTCTTCAATCTGACATGTGGTGGAAGGAGCCTGCAAATTGAGCTGGTCGAATCAGTCATCTGCCACCCTGTAAAATCCCAACTTGTCATTAATGAAACAAAYGCAGGCTCACTGGGGCCTGTCTCTGTGGTCATCTTTAATCTTTTTAATGAGACTACAGAAATACTCCACAGCCAGTGCACAGGAGGGAACATCCCTGCTGGTGCCAGTTGGTTTCAGAATACATGAGAGCGGATTACAGCGGTGTGCTCCAGCCACRCTCTCTGTGCATGCCGAGTTTGCATGTGTGTGCATAAGGGCAAGGGGGAAAGGCCTTTCCTTTCTTATCAAGGGACTCGGTAATTTCTATCCTCTGAAAGAATCATGACAAGATTCTTCAAGACTGAATAGTCTTGACAATCAAGACTATTCAGTAATTCTGCCAAGCCCAGGAGGACCAAATGGTATGACTAAATGAACCGCGAGAACCGCAACTGATAATTAACTACATTTACGTGGCATATCAGTTTCTTGCTCCCTCCATGTGTAAAAGGCAGGATGCTGTGTGAGGCAGCTAGTTAAAACTTAAGAAGTGCTTCTATTTGAAGAGAGATCTCTTCACTAAAGCTGAAAGCCTGTGCGATTCAGCACTCTGTACTCAGAAATCACAGAATATTCTGAGTTGGAAGGGACCTCGGTCATCGAGTCCCAGCTTTTCCGTTAATGGCCCGCACAGGGATCAAACTGCCACCTTGGCACTATGAGCATCATGACTGTGTTGGTGTGGGACTGGGCTCTGATGATGGGCACAGATGCAAAGAGACACAGGGAGCACACAGGCAACCTCCTGGAAAAGGTGACTAAAACTATTTTTTTATAATCTTGTACTAATTCTGAGAATTCTGCAGATACTCGTGCATCTCTAGGAAACTTCCTTCGTTTGACAACACAACACAACTTCACCTTCAGGAAAAGACTTATTTGACTCTACGGTTGGAAAATATTGTTAAGCTATAACATGTAAAAATATGTAACAGTTCATTTTTTCTCTTTTGCTGTTAATGCTGAACACAAATTAGAAAATGAGGATTTTTGTCTCAAAACCATGTCTGTGGAAGAATCCTCAGTTCAGAGTTCATATTACAGGAGATCTGGATGTAGTTAAGGGTTCTTAAAAATGTTCCTTCCATTTTTCCAGCTGTGTATTTTTGCAGTTAGGAAATAACATGCAAAGATAAGGAGTAAAATAAAAGTGTTCCTTTCAGACAACAACCAAAAAAGAAAAACAAACAAGAAGTAAAACCTATTTTAAGGGTGCTCTTGACAGMGCTTTAACTTTATTTTCTCTCTAAAAATGCTATGTGATATTCTCCCTCTTCAGCCAGAATTAGCTAGGGTGTTTAYATGCCTTGAATGAAGCTGCTCTTTGTTATTAAAAATTTTAAAGTTGTTTAATTAATAAAAAGGGGATTCAATAAATGTCCAATTTTCAGGATAAAGTATTTCAAACTGAAATTATTTGCCYCGGCTCTAAATTCAGATTCAGTCCAGGCTGCCAATTTTCTGCGAAGGGTGAAAAAGTCAACCTAAAGAAAAGGGGGATAGACTTGACCTGTAACGACCGCTTTCTATACTTAAAGCAGACAGAAATGTTTTCTCTCAGAAACTGATTTCAGAAATTTTTTTCTCTAGTTCATAGGCATATAATCAAGATGTCTTCAAAGAGTGTCTGTCCCTTCTGACTGATGGCTTTCTAAATACCTTCTTGAGATTTGCTGTACTGTGATGTTAGGCAGTAATATCTGGTACCTTTGCTCTTTTTTCTGTCTGATAGGCTGCTTGGAAGTGGTTTTGGTGAGAATGTGCCGTGCCTTCAACCCACTTAACAATACTGTTCTGTTTGAAGGAAAGTATGGAGGGATGCAAATGTTTAAAGCTTTGGGTATGTTGCTCTTCCTCTTCTCAACCACATAACAAGAAGTTTATCTTTACAAAAATAGCGACCCACAATGAAAATCTCCAGTTCACATTGAATCCCCAAGTCTCCAAATGTCTAGGCTGGAACAGAAAAAGAAAGGTTACTTCATTAGCTGCTAGCAAGAGAGGTGTTTTTCCGTAATAGAAAAGAGCAGCAAGAGGGTTTTTTCCAGTAGTCTTTTTGCCATCTGAAGTTTTGATAAACTACAAGTTTATGGCATGGGCCAAGCTGTTTATCTTCACTGTTCATTTGTGCTTGATATATCAAATCCCTCCCACTAATTGTATCCTGCAGAAGACAATTTTGGCTCCAGCAATGAGGAGACTAAAATAATTAACTGATACAAAATACAGAGAAGGACTTGCTTAAAATGCTATTTTGTCTAAAACTTCGAAGTAAGTTTAGATTAATGTATTGAAAAAATTACTTAGTTTCTCAGCATGATGTTGAGTACAATCTGAAATGTTAATAGTGAAATGCTTGTGTTTTGCCCATCTGTGAGACTGATATTATCTGAAACTGATTGAGGACCAAACTCAAAGAGAGATATTTCTTTCAAATGTAAATATTTATCATATAGATCTATGTTTTTCTTAGTGTGTATCATAAAAATAATATTTCTTCAGTAATTTAAAGCATTTGTGAATGTGAGTTGGTTATTTTTATCTCGATGTTTTTGCAAATTTTCGTGCATATTAGAACTGTTAATCACTAAAATGATGTACGAAAATTATTTAGGGATGTCCTTCATCCTCCTTAGATTTAATATTTGTTTAGAAATAGGAATTCTTTCCTCATTGGGAAAAGAGTACTCTCTTCTAAGATGTCTGTGCAATTTTTTTACTTGATCCTAATTCTTGGTAATTTTTTCACTTCAATGTGTATTTTAGTGCCACTTTCAAGTTAGGTGGAGTTTTAATAGTTAATGAAAAGTGTTTGCTTTAGCAGAACAGAAATTCAGTCACAACTTTTTCTGACTCTAAAATAACCCCAGCAGTGAAAGAGCTGATTCCTAGCATTGGTTTTGTCCKCTTTGGTCTGCAGGTTCTGATGATCTGGTAAATGAAGCATTTGACTTTGCAAAGAATTTATGTTCCTTACAGCTGACTGAGGAGGAGATTGCCTTGTTTTCATCTGCTGTTCTGATATCACCAGGTAATTTTTCATTCTAARTATCATGCTGAATTTTTTTCTCTCTTTGTCCACCTCCATTTCTACATACTCAACTAGCTGTTTAAGCTGTATCAAATAATGYTAAGCAATGTATTAAGCAGTGGAAGATTACCTGAATTACCCAAATATACTTCACTCTCTATTTGGTAGACCATCAGGGAATAGCTATACTGGAAGTAGTTTCATGGATCAGGATTGTGCAGGCAAGTAGTGAAGGCTGGCCTTYCTCCCGAGCACATAAAGAATAGTATGTTACTTGAGAGGTGCATGTTCCTCGTAGCTCTTTCAGGGAACACGAAACTCACAGCCCTGAGTAGGTTATATAGTCCRTAATTGTGATGGGCTTTTTCTGTGGGCATAAGAATATAAGGAGTAAAAATCATATGCAGTCCTGACTGAACTTCATTCCGGGTGAGAGTTAGTGATTCTAAGAGCAGCATGCACTTCTTCATGTATTCAAATGTCATAGCTCTGAACAGATAAGCATGAATTTAAGTAAGTGATGGCTGGCTGGCCACAGAGGAGGCTTCTGTGATTGACTCAGAAGGTGTATCTAGTAAACAAGCTCCCACTTTAGTGTGGGATTTCTAAATATACCTCAGRGAATGTAGACACACAGTTTCATCTAAGGGTAAGTTCTTGAAAAGCCTTACAAAAAACCCCATCACAAATTATTTTTCCACCTTTTTTTGCTAAATGCTTCCTGTAGGTCACTTTGCCCTCTTGCACRTTTRTGGTGGTGATTATGTTAGTCAGAATTAGATTATGACATATGGTGTCAACACATTCATTCTCATCATTAATGATACCTACTGAAAGGACTTTACTCCTTTTATTTTCACTTGGAGCAGTTCTTGCCATCATCTTCCCAGAGGTGAAATAGTTGAGCCAGTGGCTCCTCATGGTATTAGGCCAAAATACCGCAGATACAACCCTCCAAACATTGACCATTTCCACCTCAGAGGTGTCCCAACTGTGTGTGGGGATGAGAGCTGCCTCTGCACTATCCCCCAGATGTCCCCACTTTGTCTGGCACAGCAGACTTGCAATGTCCTGATGGCTTGCTGCCCATCATTCCTGCCTCACAYTGAAAAGGCCAAAGCTGGGAGTGTGCCAGAGGGTGCTGACTCCTGGGAAAAGTAGATGGAACCAAAATTCTGATAAATTTCTGCAGTTCTGCATATGTCTCTTTGATTTGCCAGCAGGAGGATGCTTGCAGTGCCTCCTATTCCTTTAACTAAAAAAGAAAAAAATTTAAAAAGAACAAAAGTGTTTGGTGCATGCAGACTGCTTATTTCCATAGTCTGTGAGCATGTGTGACTAGTCATAAGGCAAAAYAAGAAAGAAATGATGGGCTGCAGTAATATATGCATGAGTGAAAGCAATCTTTCTTCTGTAAAAAACCTGCAAATTTGGATTGTGTAAATAACTCCCGTTTCAGCTGGGCTGCTACATTTCAGAGTGGGAAGACAGAGAAAATAGTCCAGAATGATCTGACTTTGAAATTTGCCTTGTATTTGCATACAAAAACAGTAACAGTAAACAATACAGAAAGAAATACTTCCTTCCACACTAGATGTTCTGGTTCTTTCACAATAGGGAGTTTCATCATGTGAACATATGTTAAAATCTAAAAWTAAAGCACTGCTTCACTGAAGTACCTGCACCAGTCCTTTCATCAACTTATATGAGCTTGCAGAGGTCCCCTATGGGAAATATTCATATTCAGGTTTMTTTTCTCCAGAAGTCATCACCTGAAAGGTGGTTCTTGCAGCCTTGATCTCAGTGTTCAGGCAGTTTACAGAAACCAGAGCAGTCCATGGGGAGTAAGGGGACCTAAGAACGTCCACAAGTAACATCTATTAGTAGTTTTGCAAAGGTTGCAAAGCCCAGTGTCATTTTCCATCTAATTCAGAGTACAAATCTGGATTTTTCATTTCATGGTGGACATAACCACACTGGTTGAAGGTGATTCTCTAGCTTGATTTCTAATTTCAGAAGCTAAAACAATGTACGAGTCCGGTAAAGGTTGCAGAGGCATTTCAACCAGCAAACATGCAAAAGAGCCACRGCTGCCCCCATGTGCCAGTCCCTCTCCTGAAGTTCTGACTGCCCATGTTCCTTCTTTCCATCTTCTTTTTTGCAAAAACAGATCTTGTAAGCTCTCATTTTCTTTCCTACTCTGTTTGCTAGCCTAGTGGACTGTGCAGWCTTCAAAGATACACAAGCTCAAAACTCAAGAGGAAAAGTACACTGTTTGAATCACTGCWTCTTACATCCTTCATAGGTTGTCACTGATCTACTGACTTTTTACTGCACCTTTATGAATATAGCTAGAATTACCTGTGAAATCCCAGCCAAATTTACAGATGGTGTTCAGGTAGTAAAAGTAACATTTTGGGAGACAAACTTAGCATCCATTTTAAAAGTTTACCTATCTCTTTCAAGAGTTTGAGAACTCTCATGTAATATGCAGCATGCTTCATTGCAGGTGAGTGATAAACCTGTCCTCCAACTGGCTCAGTCTATTTTTAAGCTTATTCTTGTGACAGAAAGGTAAACCTTTAAGGATTGGTCTCTGTGACAAATCTTTCTAGCTCCAGTCTGCCACAATAGGCATTAATTTAACACTATTGAAAGACCAGRTTTTGCAATAGAACAAAGTCTGACACCTGAACCTGTGAAGTCTAAAGATTACTGTGTGCTTATTGTGTAGAAARTGCATTTTCTCTCAGCTAATTCTGTTTCTATGGCCTCTGATGGCATAGGATCCATTGGCTTACCTTCTGAGAACATGGTTCTCTAAGATTTGCAAAATATGATTGTCTTTTCCTGATGATCTGTTAAATACCTGAGGTTTGTTTATGCCTCTTTTCACAGTATTCGACGATCAGCTCTTTTCATAGACTCCTTCCCAGAGACAGTCAGATAATTGTCAGAATTGTGCTCCTCCTGTGACAAAATGATTCGTTCCAGCGCATGTGGCGTGCACACACGTTGAAGTAGTTCTCTTAACTATWTTCTGTGGCTTATTTTAGTGATGGGGAGTGAGTGAAAGAAAAGTGAATGGGGCTTTTCATGAACTTTTCAATTGGTACATGAAGATTCTGTGATAAAATAAATATTCCTAGTTCCTGTTAGAAAGCCAAAATCTATACCCAAAGATTGGTTTGGATTGAGGGGGGATAAGAACAGTTTGCAGCGTGATAAACAGAAGGTTCAATGGTGCTGCAAGCACAATGAATTACTTGGTTTGGATTGTCTCGGGGTCTGCTACTTCTCTTTCTGAGTGTCTATTGTGAGAATATAGATCTTAAGAACAACCWCCTGCAATTGGAGTTTGAGTCCAGTAGAAGCCAAATACGTTTTAAAATAACTGTGTCTGTAGCTTTTTATTCTTTCTTTTATTCAGAAAATCCTTGGTGTTTTTAAAAAGAGAACATTTATAATAATGAGAAATTTGCACTTCACAATTCTTGTTAATTACTAAAGAAATTCTTTTGGAGGAAACCTTTTCTTTTTTTTTAGAATGTTTTGTTGCAAAATGATAGCCTAATAAATAGAGATATATTTTAATGTTCAAATAATTATCTTATTTTCAAAGAAAGTTTTTATACTGTTTTTATACTATATTTTTATACTATATTTTTATACTATATTTTTATACTGTTTTTATCAGTAAGTTTATTATTTATGTATAAAGACACTGAGGAGATAACATGACATGTTTATCACCTTGCCGTTATGAAATTAGAAGAACACTGCATGTACCAACAGAGAATAATAAAATGGTTGASCCATGTTTCATTTCTGTTCCATCCTTATCCCTAACATCCTGTATTAAATGAAGAGATGCAGAACCAACACTGTTCTGTATGTTTTGTGTGTGTTAATTAAGTGCTCAGGTGATCCTTTAGTGGGTTAAGACACTTTGCCACTGAAACTATGTCTTTMTCTATGGAGTCCTTCCTTGTTGGATTCCTGTGAATACCTGCCAGCAGGGTACCCTGTGCTCACCGTGGGAATGCCCCACATCTGTGCATTCTTTACRTCTTGTTTTCCTTTTTCTCAGATCGAGCCTGGTTGATAGAGCCAAGGAAGGTCCAGAAGCTTCAGGAAAAGATTTACTTTGCACTTCAACATGTTATCCAGAAGAACCACCTCGATGAGGAGACATTGACAAAGGTAAGTTCTCAAGCATGACTCTTCTGTTTTTGCATCTATTTCTGGATGTGTTGCCACATTAATGTAAGCTAAAGTAATGCTCTGTGTGCTTGCCATGCGTAGAAGACCAGCTTGTTTGACTCTTGTCCCTGTTTCCTCTTACTCCATTTTTTGTTCAATATACCGATAATTTTAATTCATACCCTATAAAGAATGAGACTATCTTAAGAAAATACTCAGTGRCGTTCCATGTAAATGCATTTTTGGCCCTTGGCTAAAACATTGGGGGTGGTTGCTTAACGCTGTCATGGTGAGAACAATGTCTGGTCCTTTGGACCGGTTTTGATGAAGCTTTGAGCGTAGCTTTCAGTTACTCTGCAAGATGCTGACAGTTCATTTTGGGAAGTGTAATTTATASAACATTTGCTTCCACCTTCTTCCTTGCTTTTTTTGTTTTAATGTCTTACAGTTAATAGCCAAGATACCAACAATTACTGCACTTTGCAACTTGCACGGAGAGAAACTGCAGGTATTTAAGCAATCTCATCCAGACATAGTGAACACACTGTTTCCTCCATTATACAAGGAGCTTTTCAATCCAGACTCAACCACTGGCTGCAAGTGAAGGGGATAATAGAATTTTCACGTAGTCATGGAATGCATCACTAGTAAGACAAAAAGAAATGTTTTCATGAAGAAATTATTAAAAATGTCACTACTGCAACACTAGGAATGTCCTGCACTTAATAGAATTATTTTTCACCGCTACAGTTTGAAGAATGTAAATATGCAACTCTGAGTGGGGATGTCTTTTTTCTCTTTTGTTTACTTTTTCTTTTTTTTTTCATTTTTGAACTGACAATGAATATACAAATATAGGACACTGGGTGTTATCTTTTTTTTTTAATTTACTTTTGTTGGGGGATGTTTTGGGAGACAACTGTTCTTAGAATTTTATTGTAGATATACATGRTAATAGAGCAGTACTTTGCAGTATTACTCTTGCTGTTTATTGTTCAAATATAATTTAAGAAAATTCCACTATTAGACTGCCTAGTTCTGTGTTTTTAGATAGTTTAATGCATGTGGAAATTTGTAGCTGTCTTGGAAATTATGGTGCATATATGGAAGACACACACACRYATATATATACATATGTATGTATTTATGTATGTGTGTATGTATTATATGCATACATGCTGTAACTTAAAAATCACATGCCTACATTTAAAGGATGCTCAACCCAGCTGTCACGTATTACTCTCCAAGTAATGTTTTAGATTTACTTTGGGCAATCAAGATTTGCTTTGCCAGAGTCAAATTGTCAGCTGCCAATGTGTAATGACAGGATCAATTCTGAGATATGTGTAATGTGGTGCATGTGTGCTGTGTATAAATCAAACATCAGGAATGTATCAATGGTGCAAAAGCCTTGTCTGGATGGTTTTAGTGAAGAGAGGAATAGGATTGGGTGTTTTATTTTATTTTCTCACTGTTACAGGAATAGAACATATATAAAAGTGAACAAAGTAGGACCTGATCTCCGTAAAGTATCTGAAACATGGAGTAAAAATGTAGACAATCCCATATGTACATTTTTATGATTCCACCACACATGATTTTTTTTTTTTTTATGTACACTGTTTTGAAGGTAGCTTAAAGTCTTGGTTTGTTTTTTTGCTGAACTCATTAGAAAGATAGGTAGTAAACTCAGTGAAAACCATAGCAAGCCTGAAGTGTAAGTCTCTGAAGAGGAAGGAAAGTTGGGATGGAGGAGGAAGATCAAAAGTGAGTGAAGTCCATGGTTACAAAGGACAGTATAACTACCACCGTTTCTGACAGTCATCGTCTAGATGGGACTGTTGTGTTCCACTACACACATACATCTGTGTATGTTCTAAACACATGCATATATGTATGTATATATCTGTGTGTATATAACTGTATATATATATACATATATAGGATTTATTTTAGATGCGTTTCAGGAGTGGAGCAAAGGATTGGAACATTCTTTTTGTCTGTCTCTGAATCGACTATCGACTATGTGCATTTGCTTGCAAAACCAAAGGCAAACACAGAGGGGAGTAGAAGGCCACCATGGACTTCATCTTGTGGATTAATTAAGTTTAATTAGCACTCATTATTAATGTATCTGCGTTCTGCCAKTAATACAAAACAGACATTTTATCTATGAAAGAGGGTTTCAGTTTCTGCTGCATCTCTCTTCACCACCACTTTACCCCTTGTGAACCTGCCCATTCACCAGGCTCATCGTAGGGYAGTGTCACAGGGAGCCCAGAGGGACACAGATGGGCCCTAGGGTGGGTGAAGGAACTTGGCCTGTTGTAGAGATAATTTAATGCCTTGTGCAGCTCTGGTTTTAATCTTCTCTTTTCTGCATGAGAATATAACTCACAAGCTATTTCACATACTTTGTGGAGTTCTCCCTTGCTTTCCATCAATTGGTTTGCAAGTTTGCATATGTATTTTGTGGCAGAATGGAGTCTAGAGAAAATCACAATTTGTTCTGTTTTAGCAATGCCAGAACAGGTACAAGAGTAGTTGCAAACTCTCAACTAATAAATGTTTCTCTGTAGGTCCATTACAACTTAGGAAAAAGAAAACWATCTGCTCAGCAAATTTAGTTGTGCCAAAAATTTTGCAAATATGACATACTCCTCAAAATTGCTTAATGCTACTAAATGCAAATACTAAAGTAACTTTTTTGCTCCCAATTCAGAGCACATTTCTCTAGTGGTTGCATTAAAATGTCCTCAACATAATAAAGCATTGATTTTGATGCTTCTTTCTACTGTAAGACGGACATTCTTTACAGGGTGATTGACTTGTTTGCAGCCCTTTTTGCATGGCAAATCCAAGTAAAGGATCCCAAATTTCAAGTATTTTCTAATATCAAAAAAACTCAGTGTACTATATCTATGTACTCTTTGTGTATATTTATTGGGGAAGAAATCAAGTCAAACTGAACTCTGGAAGTGCGCAGTTTTAACTGCAGGGAATTCATGGTCTCCTTGTCTTTCCCAACACAAGAACACATACACATGCATTGTTTGAAATATTTTATAGATTTGTTTTCAGTATATCAAAAATATATATATTGACTAATATATATATTTAGTCAACCCATAGAAATATAGAATAAGTGATGAATACTACTATTCATAGTGCTGCTTAATAAAGAGGTTTGTCATTTTTTAAATAGTCCTTCACAATTGTGTGCTCCATCTTGAAAATGTTGTTCTCTTCTCTAATAAGYTAATTGCTCCTTGTGGTTTTTGAATAACTTCTCAGGCAGGATAACTAAATGGAGATCACCAGTGAAAAAGACACTGATTACCTGCAGGGCTTTTATTCCTTAAAGCACTATTCTTACATCACTACAATGTCATTACCTTTTCAATCAGTAATGATTACAATCACGTTTTAAAGATGTGGAAATGAAAAAGGTTAAGTGACTTGTCAGAGCAAGGTAGCACTATCCAGTTTAGGAATAAAAATGGATYCTTGCCTTTTGCCCTGAAAATTCTAATATTCTGGCATACAATATCTTCATTGCCATTGGTARGCAATAATCTCTACCAAGAATTTCAAATATTGCCAAACAAATTTTTGTTACTATTTGTACAGAATTGAGCAAATAGCACTGTTATTTGGAAAATGAAAATTAATTTTCAAACATTATTTATTTATGAAACTGTACTGTGGTATCTGTAATTATATTATACTTCATTTTCTGTCGTTTTGGATTGGCCACATAAGTATAGTACTTCTGTTGTCCTTCACTACATGTAGAACAACACATAATGATCACGTGCCACTGGCTGGATATTTGTGATTGGTTTTTCCCATAGTCATTTACACTCAAAATTTCAAATTCTTAATACTGGATCTCACATGTTCAAGTTATTCATAGACTTTAGAATAGCATGAATTTTAGTAAATAACTTCACAAGTCACAGTATTAATTCTTCATTTTAGTTCGTTTTCACTTTCCGTAGTCCACAATTGAACCTGAAGCTTTACAATGAAGTGTCTAAAACTAGATTTTGTCACATCTTCTTTCTGTAGAAACTGGATATGTTTGTTKATTTTTTTAGTGACAGGCTTTTCAAATGAGACACACTTTTTTAATGGTTGATGAACCTGGGACCTAAAACATAAAGATATTTAAAACATATATTTAAAGCATGTATTGCATATATTGCTTCTAGCATTGCTCTCCAATAAKTCAACAATATTGCTGTAAATTACCCTTGCATTGAGGAAGCAGATGTGCAGTGTTCYTTACACTACCACAAAGACTATTTTGCTGTAAATATCACTCTTGCCTGTTCTTTGTATAAAGAATTAATTCCAACATTTTTATTTCCTTCTAGAGGAAATTGCTACAAAAGAAACACAGTAGTAGTAGAAGGTACCTCAGTTGAGCAAAGTTTTTTCCAAAAGCAGTATGTGTTTTTGACTGGCTTGTGATAGGCAGCATTTATAAATTGATTCTGCAAGTTGTCTGACACTTGCCTCTAAATGAAGTCACTAAAACTTGAGGCATTTCAGCACCACATAGAAGGTGCTCAGCCCATCGCAGGATTGGAGGCCCTTGGCATTAAGAGRTTCCCCTTGAGCTTTGTTGAGCAGAAGGCAGACGTTATTCTTATATTTGTATTGTAATGCTTTGACTTCGTGCTTGATGGGTGTTCAGTTCAGTTTCACAGAGTTCAGTTTATTCTCCTATAGAGAGCTGCACCTTGGGTACCAGTGCTGTTCCAACACCTGTGCTAGTTTAARGTGCTGCAAGTGGAGCAGCTACCAGACCTTCCCATGAAGATGAGCTTTATTGTGCGATTTAATTTGTYCAGTTTCATGGTGGCAGCTAGCCCAGGTGAGTGTTCCCCTTTGGGATGTAACAACTTTTACACAGAGGATGCAAATCTGTTCTATTTGCTAGCCTCTCAGCCTCCCACCACCAGGCTGTGCCAGCTTCTCTAAGATTGCAAGAGTCTCACAAATTGGTCRGGCAGCTTAGTTAGAGATGTGCAGCTAATGGCTCCTTTCCGTGATGACTTTTCTACCCCTCTGGAGCTGTGCTTCAAAGGTCATTTGAAAGATATTCAGGCTCCCCTACTCCTCCTCCCTCCTGACTCTGCGTTGATGTGCTGTTTCCAGAGGAGCTAAGGTCCAKCCTGGAAGGTGGTTCTTATTTTCAGTCATTGTCTTTTGGACATCCRAGGAACTTAGCATATAAGATCAAACTGAAACATGGAAGATGTTTGTCCAATTCATTATGTCTAAGGACATGTGAAGTGGAACCCTGCGACAGAACAGCTTGGTTTTCCCTGGCTATAAAACAGTACTGTATTTACAGCTAGCAGTCTGTCCCAGCACCTTCTGCCTCCACTCTAAAAACTAAATCCTGTCTCTGACATTCATTAGAAACAGTGTGTTGGAGGTCTTGTCCTCTTCTTTACTCTTTAAGTTTCACGCTTCGTAAATGACAATCACTGCTTGATGCAAATGTTGCACTCTATGCCACTCAGGGATGTTTCATTAYTAAAAATAACCATAAATGTAACGGTGATAATAGGGAAGAGATTGTTAGAGGCATGGAAGGGCATGGGTTGAGCTGCCCAAGTGAACATGACCCAGACAAGGCTTTCAAGCCAGTGATTATAAGTAACATTGGTATAAACTGAATTCACTGTCAGCATTTCCTCAGCTTGATCTGACTTTGCCAGTTGTGTCACAGTCAGCGGAGTCCTACTGACCCGTCAGCTCATGATGTTGAGGACCCTCTGGGAACAAAATGCAAGCGAGCTTTGTACCAATTACTGGATTTAGACAACTGACAAAGTTTAAAAGTATTCCATTTATGTACCATTAATGTGAGCTCATATTCAGACTTGCTGGAGGCATGTAAGAGGAAAGGTTAAGACATGGAATAAGTGATAGTATGTCAGCAGTGACAAGAGCACCAAACTACGACGTGGAGAAGTGACTGTGAAGAACAAGTAGACATGAGCAAGTGGCTAACAGCTACTATTTTCTCTCAGGGATGCACAAAATCATAGCTAGCCCAAGACTCTGTAGCAATACTTCTCCATGGTGTGATCAGTCCCTTCCTCACATCAAAACATTATACCCCGCTTTATACTGTGCTAGTGAAAAGTACTCCCACTTCTTAGAGTTTTGAAATGTGCTTATCCCTAGCTTTACACCACATGTTTTCTTTCGTTACAAGAACACACGCAGGRCGATAAATTGCAGGGGTTTGTATTGCCAGTCATTAATTCCATGTCTTCAACCAAGAGGTTTTCCTCAGCTCTGAATATGATCGTTATTCCTATTATCACAGTGAATATGTATGTTTCTTGACTCCCTCCATCCTCTGAACTTGCTCCACCTAGAAGACTGATGGACATCTTCAGGAGGTGGAGAGGCCAGCATCCCTATGCATCAAGATTTTCACAATCATATTCTTTATCGACCATTACATTGCAAWTTTTATTTTAATCTTTCAGGTTGCTAGGAGCCATGTCCAAGTGACTGAAGTTCTTGTTAGCRTGATACCTTCACATTAAAAAGTTCAGTCTTATGGTCAGAGGACCTTGCCTCTCTTTCCTTTTTCTTTTACTCCTAGCTCCTAGTGAATGAGGCTTGGAGTGGCAAATGATTCACCTTTATTCTGTCTGAAAGYTGATATCTTTACAACCTACAAGGGAAGCTCCACCCAGATGGAAGGAAGCAGGCTCCTTCCTCCTCTTCTTTCATGTTGTCACTTAGCTGTTGTTGTCCCTGCATGCATTGTCCTTGCAYGTGTTGTCCCTGCATGACTGACAATGAGCCCAGCACCCCAGTGATTATCATCCCAGAGGGTGTTTGTAGCTATGAAAGCCACTTGTGTATGCAATCTGCTGACAGAAGTCATTGTGACGAGATCTGAAACTTCTACAGCAGTAGCTCATAGATTAGTAACTCTCCAAAAAACACAGGCTGCATGTCCTGTGACATGGCAGCTGTGTCCGTGTCCTCCAAATGACCTTTGCATTTCATTTCTCTTGGGAGGATAAGGCAATGAACAAAACACTCTGGGAAAGGAAAAGCATTTCCTGGGTGTTACTGCAGTAAGCGAGGATAATACTGCTCACAGTGAGTTCAGTAACATAATGTACTACATTTGCATTATTTCATAATCCTCACAATTCAAGCACAGCACATGGGAAAATGAAAGAAAACATCCTTGGATATAGCAGCAATAAGTAAATTGTGTTTCTTTGTAACTGTGCTTGCAGAAATTATTTGCTTTGCACGTGGTCTTCTGTACATTAACAAAAAAAAATACAACTAATGTAGATATCACAGTGATTTTGCATATTTTTTGATTTGTTGGATATAGCTGCTAATTTGTGAATGAAGAATTGTGAATGAGAATTTTTTTTGTGCTTCAAAAAGATGCTGGGATCCTTGTTTATGACTATACATTCACAGCAGTAAAATTTGTTCAATATAAGACTCTGTCTGGAGAGAATTTTAAAAAATGGCTCCTAGTTTTCAATATTRGGAACACACTGGCCCCTTATTTGGGCGACAAGAATGCAAATGCAATGAAACACAAACAGGAGCAGATGGTTAAACACCAAGAACAGGAAAGAATAGGCTTTACCTTGATGACTGTTTCAGATAAAACCAGCTTATTAAAAAAAAAAAAAAACTAAAAAATTAAAAAAAAAAGCACTTGTCTTGATTAGCAGCTTAATAAGTCAAAGTAACTACATTAGGCTGTTGACTTTGGGGATTCAGATTCAGATGCACTACATTTGTGGTTTTTTTAATGTGTCACTTCAATGTCAGAATCMGGCAAAAAAAGGTGTTTTGTTGTTAGTAAAAAAAGCTAATAATCGTTTAACCCTACAGAGTGTGGACCACACATTCTCGTGCAGTATATGGGGATTTATTCGTGCACTTATTTTTAAGAAGCCACTGAGTAGCATAGCCAGTGATAGCTATGAKAGCCGTGATAGTCTTTGCCTCGTGTGTGACTGCCATGGGAGCTGTGGTACACCTTGGGGAGCGGCTCTGTGATTGTACTTGTGGCAACAAATGAAGCACAACTGAACTCTAAGCTGTTACCAACACTCAGCTAAATCAAATGCATTGGATATTTTGAGATTTATGCTAATTGCTATGAGATAATTCCCTTGTTAAACTACTTAACTTTGGTTGTAATGAGTGGACGATATAAATAATACAGGAATCATAATAGCAACAAAATCCCTTATTTTACAGCTGCACTCTCTGCCTCATTTGATTAACACTAAAGAAGTTACTTAAAAACTAAACAAACAAAACAAGAAGAAAGAAACCTGAGTATGTATTGTAGAAATGTAGAAGACAAATAAAATATTTTTTCATATGTAATTACTTTTAATATATGCTTGTGGAAGGTCCAATACTATGTATGCTGTCTCTATAATTTTTGCTGTAAATAACTTGAGACAGTGAATACACTGATTTTTTCTATGTCTCTGTTTAAACATAAGACTTTGTAATGGTTTTTTTTTAAGAGGAAAAACATCAAAGAGCAAATTATGTACTTGCTTCCTGTAAGTGTAATGTACTCCTCAGTTTTTATGGAAACTGATTGTAATAGCTAAAGCCTTTTGACCAGCAGTTGATATTTAGTGTATGCTTCTGTTCATAATTGGGGGGGGGRAAAAAGGTGGGATTGTCACTGAAATATGGTCCCAGCAAGTCTGGACAGTGAGTACTATAATAATTCCTGCAGACTGCATTTGACTATTATGATTTGAAGAAAAGTTGTTCAAGCAAATTATGCTTCCTTATAGCATATGGCTTTTATGAATTCTTCTGACATGACTTGTATTAATAGAAACATTTCTCTCTTTCCAATGAGCAGAATATTTTTGTATACCTTTAATTTCTTACTCAAATTTGGGGTCAGGTTATTCATTAGCTGTAATCTGAAGCCATAACTGATCTTCACCAAATGCACATTTTAAAGATCATAATGAAAAAAAAAGAAACTAGGTCCAGTTTATCAACAGCTGTAATGCAGGCAGGAGCATAAACAATGAGCAAAGTATTTAGATGCTTTTCTGGCATCCAAATGAGACTTTAATGGCTAGTATTTTGTGATTACCAATTTATAAAAAAAATAAAAACATAATTAAGATAGATATTTAGATTTAAATGAAGCTTTCTAATATTTTTGAAATATCCCTGAAAATGCTTTTAGGATTATGAGAAGAAATGATTTTTCATATACTTCCCACTTTCAAATATCTAATGTTTTTATCCAATTTCCAGTTCATTTTGTTAGTGTGAAATGAGATGTTAAGACCCAGGATCCAAGCCCTGAGCTATTTGGTGCTTGGCTGTAGTTATATTGTTGTAAATCAATTTAATTTGAATTTTAGGGGTGTGTTGTTTTTTATTTGCTAAGCATGTTTACCACTGTTGGTAACACACAAGAGTTGCATTGCCTGTCAAGAAGTATGATAATAAATAATCTAATAAAATAATGAGTAACACTCAAAATTAATCACTCTCAAAAGAAAAATAAAAATTCCTTTCTAAAATCAAATGCCTCATAGAGTCAACAGTGATTTTTTTTTTTCTGTAAGCTTAATTGTGTAATAACTGTGATGTATCTTAACTGGCTTGTAGATGCAAAAAGCAAAACTGCAAATGAATCATGACACATTGGGTAAAAATCTGGCTCCATTGAAACCAGCAACAAACCCTTCACTGATTTCAGCAGTGCCAGGAGTTCATCCAGCATTTTTACATCAGCAATTCTCTTATGATCTTTCTCCCTTGTTTGATATAATTGACCTAATTTGTGTGTGTGAGAGTAAAAAGACAGCCTGATTCATTTAGAAAGTGACAATTGAGGGTTTTGTTTTTTTGGTTTTTTTTATCATGATTCTTGTAGGACCAGCATCCTTGTCAAATGAAAAGGTTCTGTCTTACTTTAGAATGTAATAGATTTTCGTCTTATTTTATGACCTGTAAATTATTAGTTAAATACTGTTAGTATTTCATAATAATGCACACATGATTTTTGAATGTTTTCTGTAAATGACAATCAATGTTGATGAAGTTCCTTTCTTTAATGCGAAATTAAAAAAAAAAAAAAAAAACCTATAAGAAAATAAATTCTGTTGTGGGTTTTGGTTTGGGCTTTTTTTTCCCTGTTCCTTTAAATTACYTGTATCTGTCAGGAAAAGGCACAACGTATGCATTTCCGTAAGAGAAGATAATCCTTTATGTGTCCCTACCCCCAGCYGGGGAGTTTTAACTACATGAACTTTGAGATCTCCTTCCAGCCATAACTATTCCAAGATTCTGTCGTCAGGAGCCTGTACTTACTTTCAGGTTTTTTCTTAACCAAAAGAGTTACGTATATAGAATTTTGAGACATCAGCTGACACTAACAGTGGCTCTGTTTTGCAATTTAAGTTAGAGCTGTGACTTCTGAATATGGAAATTGCTATACTCATTATTTCTCTATTTATTTGGGGGAAGCCACAACTAGAAGAAAAGCAAAGCAACAAAACAATTGTGTGAAAGCAAACTGCACAGCAGTGTAACAGAAAGTTACTGTATTTAAAAGAAACACTATTTAAAATCATATCAAATATTTTTCAGGTYTGTGTATGACTAGCTGTCAAAGCTCTAGTAGTGATACTATCTCTCGATASTATCTTTTCATTTTTAGGACTCTCAATTTAAATCAGAAGTAAATTTTAAAAGGCAGTATCTAAAGACTTCATTTTTAAACTCTTAGGCATATGTTTATCAGTGTACTGACCTCAGAAGATTTAATGTAATGCGTGCACTTAAATCCAACTGTGTAAATGTTTTTTACATCTTTTGGAAAACAACTGAGAGTATAAAGATAACAGTACAGAAATTATAGGGGAAAATACAGTTGCTGYTCCCAGGTGGRATGCAGTCAGCATACCTGACCTCCCAGACACAGCCTTAGGGATTCTAAATGGAGGGTGGGGCAGCGTGGGGATGCCAAGGACAGGCTTTCTCACAGCCCTTCCAGAGGGAAATCCCTGTATTTCCCAGCTGGTAACCTCACAGCAGCTTCAAACCACGGCAGATGGAGGAAGAGGTCCTGCTCTCGGATCAGCAGCTGTGGGGAAAATCACTGACTCGTGTCCCCATCCCAGGATTATCTCAGGTGGTGTCCTGGGATAGCTGCCCTCAAGGTACAGCCACCCCACATTGAGTAAAATCTATAACTTGGTCACTCGAGCTCCACCTGAACATAAAGATATAGTGTCAAAGTGAGGGAAGAATGGAAAGAAATTAGGGAAGACTCCAGTGTAACATCTGGGATCAGCTGGCAAGTTAAACCTGTCTTCCCCACGGGATGCCTGTTGGGTAAGAATTGTGCTCTTTTCACACAGAATCATTAACTCCAGCTAGCTTTTATTAAGGATTAGAGCCAGTTCTARCATATTGCATTGAATTAGTATAATGCTTGGAATACATTTTTGCAGTTTGGAATACAATTCCAGCAATCCTCAAACCTTCACCTGTCACAATCCTGTTAATAGAGTGTTATTCCATGAAGTGTCAGTGTGAGTCTTTGAAGGGTGCTGCAGTCACCAGCAGTGGGTGAAGGTGTGCAGATCTGGGGTRGCAGTGGGGTCTGTCTGTGGTGTGTGACCCTGAGCCACCCTCTGATCTGCTGAGCTGCTCACTGAAGGGGCCCCATAACAGGACACGGACAGACTGGTCAGGCATGGGGGCTGTGGCTTTCATGGGTCACTGATACATGATGACATACTAATTAGGGTTGAGTAAATGTCCCATTTTCATGTGACAGCATCGCAAAACAGGTAAGCGATTTTGTGTTACGCAGGTGCAGCTTAGCTTGRTAAGGTTTTTAAGTCCCAGATATTTAAGGCACGTTTGAGGGTTTCACATCAATCTGAAAAAGATTCAGAAAAATRTAATGAGGAGTTCATGTCTATTTTCTATTTCAGATACCATGAAGCTGAAGAGTTTACTAGCCATATGAAATAAATGGAGTGTTGGGGTTTTTTCAGACACAGATACATGAAGGTCTTACAGGGCATAACTTACTACACTATTGTGCTGGTTAAATGTCATTTTAAATTTCAGTGTGTGCAGGCCCACAGCAGCTCTGCTACAAAATGAACTATTGTATACATTTTGCACGTTGCAGGTTCATGAAGGCAGATGGATGAATATGGGCTTTYTAGAAAGACACTAATGAAATGCATTACACAAAACAACATGAAATAGTGACAGTTGTCAGTCCCAGAAGAATTACATCCTAATAGGTTTTCAATTAGTTACAAACCCATGCATGTACAGCCTTCTGGAGCACGATGTATTATCGGTGTATTCAGTCATAACTTACCATGCATTTTGAACAGCATCTTTGTAACAGCAGCTGTCTCATGAAATGTCATCAACATCCTAAAAGCAGTCCAGTATTTGCATTGGATAAATCAAAATCTGGCTAAGCAATTTTTCTGACTCTGTTCCTGCTTTCTCCTCTTCTATTCATTTCACTTCACATATACCCAGGAGAAATCTTGGAAAAAAAAAATCCTTTGAAAACTGGATTGCAGATCGCTTTGGGAGGACAGATTCTGACTTTTTCTGGTGCAGGTATAGCTGTAATGTTGGTCTTAATGTTGGTCTTTAGGCCATGCGTCTGTTCCTGAAAAATGTTAGTTTACCTTGCTGTTTATGCAGGAGTTTAATTGTGGTTTTAATGGTCTGCATATGTGAGAGAAGTGAAATTTACAGAGCTGTAGGAGCTTCAGTTAGTCCTGATGAAGGGACTCTGATCCCAGAAGGGTTCTCTTCCAATTATATATGAACAGTCTAATAAAAATACTATCTCCCCCTACAGATATGCATTAAAAGTATGCTATGATTCTTAAAACACCCGAGCAAGTCTTTCACCTGAGTGTTCCAGCTGTAAGGACTTAATTCTGTTGGCCAGAGTGGTGGATTGGTCCTGTTTAAATTGCTCTTGGGTACCTTGCATGACCTTCTCCTGCTGCTTGTGGCAGCTTTCTCCAGTACATGGAAATTTTGAATAATCTTGAATAAACTCCAGAGAAGCTGTGTGCTGGTGTTCAGATGTCAATAGAAAGTTTAGGTGCACAACGTCTGTGCTTAAYACAAATGCCTGGAATTTTGTATGTATGAAACTAAAGAGATAGGACACTCAGTGATTTAAAAATAATTGCTGTRACTTCCCTTCAAAATCCTCACAACAGTAACTGCATTACATAGCTTAAGAGCCTACTTCCATGATCAGTAGATTCAGGCTTGTCTAAGATGCTTCCAGGTCCACTAATTAACCAATAGCAAATTTGACCAAATGCTGGGTTAGTTTAGGGTTCTGTCAGACTAATAAAAGGAGCCTTGTCAGAGAGCTTTAAAAATTGCATCCTTTATCCTGCTGGTTTAGTTGCATTTTGACATTCAAAAATGCATTCAGTTACAAAGAAAGCATCACTAAAATTGCAGTTGTAGTTGATCAGCTTCGCATCATTCCTCTAAATGACTCAGTGATTGACACAGGCAAGATTTAGTGTATCCTTTGCTGCTTTGTRACAGCTGGTGATTAATCACTATAAAGTTTTAGCAAATACATGCTGGTATTCCTCTTTTACCAATAAAAGTTTACAATTGGCTTACAAGTTAGGTCTGTCATTTACTGAGCTTGTAATTCCAACCCTTCTCCCAATTTTTCTTGCAGCAATGCACTCAGGAGCACTGTTACATCAAATGCAAGGTCACCAAATGACACACTGAAGGGCTAGTGGTATTAATTTGTAGGTGCTTTTTAAGCCCATGCCATATACAAACAAATCTCTACTTCATRAAAGTGAAGATGTGTGCTCAAGTAACTGAAGGTAGCTGCCAATGCACCTTCAGRAAGTGCATAACATTTTAGCAGCCAAAAGTTGTATGGAAAAATTCTGCCTTGAGAAATCAATAAATTAATATTTTATATCCAAAAACAAAATGAAAATAACTTTATATAGATAATTGAGAGGCCCGTTGGAAAATGGCAACACCACCAAGTTTAAACATTTTATTTTGGGGATGCTGATTCTGGTCATGGATTACTCATTCCTAGGCAAACAGATGGTTTGACATGTATACATACATTTAGCTATTTCTTGTCACATTTGAGGAATAAGCACTGATTTCATCTTTACTGTATGGCTTCCAGATGTTATCACATAAATTACTGCCTCATTCTCTTGCCTCCATCTGGATTATTAATGAAACCCACTCTTCTCTGAGCAATTGTTTCAGTGTCTCAGATTCTGTGCAGGTTAGTCAGAATTGTAGCAGCCTTTCCATCATTAAGGGAAAATCCATCAATTCTGTGATTTCACTGAAACAATTTTCTGAGAAGATGTGGCTATTTACAAATCAGGATTTAAAGTCCTCACTCCTAACCTTCAATGCTGTATGTTAAAGGATATCCAGCTGTTCCAAAGCATGCACCACTGCTACCTTCTCCAAAAGCTAGCAAAGCACAGGTATCATGCCTTTTACACACCAGTGAATCAAATCAATAAATTTTAAAATCTTTGTATGAAATAGGAAATCTAAATTTGTTCATTTTCTTTTAATTTGATAACATTTAGTGAGTGGACTCAAAATGTGCATTGCACTTTCAGAGGTGTTGAACCTTAAGGTCCCTAAATGAGATACTATCCACCAAAAAGTGCCTGAGAGCATTTGAGTCTGAAGCTAGTGAAAGTATATACAGTCACAGGATTACTAAAAAAATATGATTAGTATTGGATCTAGTATTCTAAATTCTCCTGTAGGCWTAGTTTTCCTATGAGGAATTGTGCCTTGAAAAGTAAAAGAAA